TGGAGAATGTCATTCTAAGTGAAGTAAGCCAGAAAGAGAAAGAAAAATACCATATGCTATTACTTATATGTGGAATCTAAAAAAAAAAACAAAAACCACACACACACAGGCAAACTTATGTACAAAACAAAAACAGACTCACAGACATTGAAAACAAATGTATGGTTACCAGGAGGGGAAGGGAGTGGGAAGGACAAACTGGGAGTCTGAGATTTGCAGATAGTAACTACTAAACATAAAATGGATAAACAACAAGTTTATATTGTATAGCACAGGGAACAATAGTCAGTATCTTGTAGTAACGTATGGTGCAAAAGAATATAAAAACGAATATATGTATGTTCATATATGACTGAAGCACTGTGCTGTACACCAGAAATTGACACAACATTGTAAACTGACTAAACTTCAATAAAAATATATATTAAAAAATAACTTGGATAATCAAAGTTTTCTTAAATAGGACAGAAAAAGCACTAACCTTTAAGCTATTTAAAAATTAAAAATTGAAATTCATTAAAATTAACAGATTCTGTTCAGTTTTCAATGTTTTTCTCTAAAAGACATGTACAGTGTAGTTTATAGAAACTTACTCTTACTAGCCCAAGACTAGAAATAACCTAAATGTCCAACAATAGTTGAATGACTAAATAAAAGGTATTATTCATATAATCAATGTAATGCTAAAATAAAGAAAACCACTTTGTTACATCTAATGTTATTGATGCATCTCACCAACATATAGCTGAGTGAAAGAATTCAGATACAAAAGAGTATATACTTCTCTTTGTATTTTGTTCAAAACAGGCAAAATTAATCTGCGATGATAGAGGTCAGATTCCCGGTTACCTTTGGAAGTACTAACTAAGAGAGGGCAGGATGAAGTCTTTGGGGTGTTGGGAATATTTTATATCTTGATTTAGATCATGGTACATGGGTATATACATATGAAAAATTCATTAATGTATATACTTAAATTGTGTGCACTTTATTTCATATAAGATAAATCTCAACAATACAAGAAAAAGGGAAGTGAAACTAAAATTAGAGTATTCTTCTAGGAGACCTGTTATAATCCTTAGGGTTGTTAATCTATATTCTGGTAATCCTCCTTTCAGGGATCTTGTGAGATTACAACTTCCCACGCTTTTGCAGTTAGGGATGGACATGCTACTTTCTGTGATCATAAAATCTTCATAGAAATGCAAGTTACTTCTGGATGGATGTTTTTAATGGCTAACATGTGTCTCACCATGTTGCTTTTCCTCTGCTGCCATCCTGAGGTCCTTGGGAGGGTGGAGACTCTGTCACTGTAGCCTCTGTGTAAGGACAACGTGGAGCCAAACCCCTAGCTGGTCCCTGTTGGGCCTGTAGTGTCAGTGAAACAACCTCTGCTGTGTTATGTCGCAGATACTTGAGTTTGCTTTTTGCTGCAACACAATGCGGCTCATTTTGACTGATGCTAAGGCTCAACTTTCAGAAGGAGAGAAAATTTATCAAAGAAATAAGGCAAAAACATTTTCCAGAATTGGTGAACTTTAATTTCCAGGTTGAAAGCCTCTCCTAGAACTGAGTACAGTAAGTGAACGGAACAAGATTCACATAGTGCATGCCACTGTGACATTGTAGAACACCGGAGTAAGGAGACTATCCTTAAAGCTCCTGGAGTGGGGTACAAGAGGATCACAGACAAAGAATTAGAAATCACAACAGACTTCGACTTCTCAGTGTCAATTCTGGAAGCCAGAAGACAGTGAAACACCTTAAAAAGTCTATAAAAAAACATTTACAATTTGGTTTTGTACCCCTGCCAATCTTTCAGTCCAGTGTGAGAGTATAAAAATAAAGACATTTTTAAAGAGAGGCAAGGCCTCAAAAAGTATAACTCTAGCTTTCCTTCCTTCTATCTTAGTAGTAGAACTGTTGAAATAAAGACCTCAATTTCCTGTCTCCTTGCAAGTAGGTATGGCCATGTGATTAAGTGCTGCTTATGGGATTTCAGCAGAGGCAGTATGTACATGTTCTGAAAGGGAATGGGCTTGCCCTTCCTCTTCCTTTTCTGTAGGCGACACATAATGGTGGAAGTTCTGGCAGCGGTCTTTCACTGTGACCTGGTGTCCTGGGAAATGAAAAGCAAGCACCTCAAAGCAGTGAGACCCGAGGGTCATTGTACTCCTGGATCACCTTTTTTTGTTTGTTTTTTTTCCGCTGGTGATAAGCAGTCTCTTCTTTTGTTTGATCCCCTGTGTTGAGTTTCTGTTTCTCAGAGACAAAGGAAATTCTAACTCAAAGAAAGGGATTCTGCGAAAGGGGGTTGAACACAAGAGTAACAGAGGAAATCTCTATAACTGATCATGAAAGGACATCTTAGGTTTTGAGGGTATCGTGTTCTAAAAGGGCTATATATTATTTTTTATCACAAAAACTCAAAATGTAATGTCTGAAACTGGAACATTGAGATTTAAACAATATAAACACATTATTTAGGAATGTGAGTTAAAAATGCTGGAGGAAACAGCTAAGAGAGCCAAAATGAGTTGCCTCCGGCAAGTGGGAGGCAAAGATAAAAAGGGGTGGAAATGAGTGGCCCAGAGGAATGTTATTTTCCATTATGAGCTTTGGTGAGCTGTTAGATCAATTAAACTCTGTAAATGTATTCCCTTATTGTTTACTGTATTTATGATGATAAACACAAAAAATGATTTTTAAAAAAGAAAATGGACATTTAAACCTGTGATTTGTATTTTCTATTGCATCTGAATGAGAATAGTAAGAAAGTTCTATTGTTTGTGCTAGTTGACTTACCAGAAGGTGATTTAAGGAAATGGCATTCTTAAATGGAGATACAAAGGTCAAAGACAAGCAATGCCTTAGCTGTTAGAACGTATATCATGAAGCTCGGATCCTTAACAGCGTACAGTGGCAGTCCGCGGGGAGTGAGGCGGAGTGCCTTTAGTTTGTATCTGTGACTTATTGCTGTGACATGACACTATTACATTTTGGTTTTTAGCATTTTTAAAGAGGAAGTAATAGTTATGAGAGATGAAGAACTCAGAATTAAGTACTGTAGTTATACACAGAAGGGTAATTTGGTTTTGATGTATTGGCTCGAGCCTGTTAACTAATAATACCAAATTTTAAGTAGCATCTCCCCAGTATGAAAAAGAGGTAGCATCATTATTAATGTCTAAACTATAGTGTGTTTCACACAGGATTATGGTAAAGGTCAGGCCATGTTTCTCTGAATTAAAAGCTATTCTGAGCTATCGCATTCCTAATCAACGCAGACCTAAAGGTGCATAGCTCAGTTATAATGAGGCACAATGAATTTAAATAAACTGCAAGATACTGTATAGTGATTTATATGTGCACTGTGGTATCCTTTTAACTCATTAGCAGTGAATGATACTGTGTGTTTGCAACTGTGTTTTGCTGTATAACTATTTTTTAATCACAGTATTTCTTGGTAAAACTGCCTTATGCTCCCATTTTCTTCCTGTCTGTGTAAAGTAGAAAGGAATGGGTGCTCCTGGCCTGCACCCAGACGCAAGTCACAGCAGAAAGGGACCTGCAAATATCCACTCAAATAAATTTCAGAAATTAACTATTTGTAACTATATTCACATGCTTATGGTTTCAGGGTATAGAATTGCCATGGGAATTGAGAACATGAATTGAAGGTTACATGTAGGTTCCTGAATTATACTTCAGACCTAAGTTTGCGGAGGGATTAAAATAGTCGAACACATCTGAGTGTTTATTTAAAAACACCAATGTTTAGCCAGAAACTTTTCTGCTCAGTAATTCATGAGTCTTATTTCCCATCTTCCATCATCTTATGTATACCTGATAATTTTTATAAACAACAATTCCTGTAGCTTGCTTGTATATCAGGCTTACACAAACTATGGGGCTTTATTGCATTTAGCAAAATCCTTTTGTTTTCTTTATTTCTAGATTAAGAGAATCTTATGCATGACACGCATGAACAAACATTTAAGTAAAAAAGAGGAGTGATCACATTGATAAAATTCTCTTTATAAATGGCTCTATTATATCCACTTTTTGTGGTGGCCAAAGGAGACTGGTTATAACATCCTAAGAAATCTTTTTCTCCTAATGCTTAAGAAACCTATGCAGATACTATATTTATCTTAAATTATACTCTCCACACTTGAAATAGCCTCACTACTCCTAAAATTGAGTTAATTTAATACAACCAGGCTGTTACATAAAAACCGGATTTCTGTCTTGGGGCTCAACTGCTTTTGAGTTTCATTACCAATTATATATCCTTCCTATTCTTTTCTTGGTCAGTTTTTACGTAGTATACACTTGGCCTTGTACTTGGTAATTCTAGAATAATGTGACAGATGTTTCTAAATATTCCTTAATAGCTATTCTCCTCTTTTTCGCTTTAGAAACAGGACTACATTTTACTTAGCTAAATGGACATCCAACTACAAACTACATTTCTCAGTCTCCTTTGCAGCTAGGTATTATGGGCTGAATCGTGTCCTCTCAAAATTTATTTGTTGACATTCTTAACCCCTGTATCTCAGAATGTGACTATATTTGGATATTCGATTTTTAAAGAAGCAATTAAGATTAGCATGGGCCCTAATCCAATATGACTGGTGTCCTTAAAAGAAAAGGAGACTAGGACACGGGAATATATAGAAGAAAGACCATGTGGAAACTGGAAGAATGCAGCCGTCTTCAAGCCATGGAGAGAAGCCTCAGAGGAAACCCACCCTGTTGATACCTTGGTCTCAGACATCTAGCCTTCAGAATTGTGAGGCAAACTAATTTCTGTTGTTAAACCGCTCAGTCTGTGGTACTTCCTTACCGCAGCCCTAGGAAACTAATACAGTAGGAGTGCTCATGGGATTGAATTTGGGTTATTTGCGTATAAGCAGAAGTGATGTGTGAAGTTTCTAGGTCATCTCTTTTAAAGACAAGGTGGAATATGCTGGCTTATCTCTTGTCCCTTCTCACAGGCTTGAACACAGATGTGGCAGGGACTCCATTTCCAGTGTTCAAATAAGGACAACACGAGGGGTGTGGTGGAGCAACGAGGTGGAAGAAACCTAGTCCCTGAATGACCTTGTGGGGAAGAGCCATCCAGACAGCCAGCCAGCCAGGACTACTCCTATCGGGACTATTCTGTAAGAGATAAGTAAACTTTTGTCTTAAGCCACTGAATTGTTTGGATCTATATTATCATAGTTTAGCCTTTACCCTAACTAATAAAACATCTGTGGAATAAGTACCAGGCACAGGCCCTCTACTCTATTTCCACTTTAATTTTTCATTTATATTCTATACATAATAAATAATACAGTTATATATAATAAACTATAAACATTTATAATTTAAACATATAAAATGATAATACCATATACTTTTTGATTTTATATTACATTGTCACACAACTACTATTTTCATTGCAATTCCATTGCAGTTCTAGCGGTAATATAGCTAATGGATGCTTCTCTTTCTTTTCTTTTCTTGGTCATTCTCAGGAGGTATTTATGAACTGTTATTAAACTCAGTTTGATCCTTCATGAGCATCATCTGAGGGATCAAAAATATCACATAGTCACCAGGAAGATGGTGTCTATCCACAGCCTACCCCTGGCTTCTATCCAAGCACTTGTCTGAGGATTTTCTGATTAACTTCTATTATTATTACTGTTATTAATATATCACCAAACCATGAAGCTGGAATACATGGCCTTTTTCCCAAAGGTTTATGGATTTTCCACATATTCATTTCTAATCATGCCATGTGATTTTTCGACATTGATAACCATGGTATGTGAGTTCAGTGGAAATAACACTCATCCCTTCCATATCCAACTAGTTTCTAAGCATATCAGATGATTTCTGCTAATTTTAAAGAACTTTAATTGGTATACAGAGCTCTTTTCTTATTGTTTTTGTAGTCAACCAGTCTAGTTTTCCTTCTGTCCTAACCCTGTATAATCTTGCCGCTCTTTTGTTTTCTGTTAAATGTCAAGTAGATGTGTTTTAATGATC